TTGACACGTTATGACCCATTCGGTTACAAGTATCTATATATATATATATATGTATATATGTATATATGTCTGTGCGTATGTATTATTAATATGTGAAACAACAAGAATAACTTGGAATAGTATTAAATTTTAATGATAAATTCATATACACAAAATAAAAATGACATTAAATAAAAAAGCTAAAAATTTTAATTTAAAGAAACAATCATGAAATTTGATAAGGAGAGAGAGAGAGAGAGGAGGAGGAGGGAACAAAGAGAGAGAGGGGGAGAGAGAGGAGAAGGAGGAGGAAGAGTTAACAATGATTAAATGATATTATATTTAAATATAATAAATAAACTATCCATTTAATAATAAAAAAAAAACATCGAAATTTACAGTTTGAAAACATAAAATGAAAGAGAAAAAAAGGCAAGTTTAACATTTACAAATGGGAAGTTTAAAAAAAAAAAACGATAAGAAAATGAAGAATGAAATAAAACTGGTCGTGTCAAATCGATTGGATGATCATTTTGCCATTTCTTCAAATCAAATATTTTCTCATCTAAATAAAAAAAAAAGAAGAATAAGAAGAAAGAAAAGACAAAAATTTTGTATTATGAAAATAAAATTAAGTAAAATAATTTAAATGGGTATAAAAGTTAATTTAGTTTTATTCAATAAAATATTTTATAAAAATAAAAATAAAAAGAAAAGGAAACAAGTAATAACAGTACAAATAAATGATAACAGTAAATGAGCATAGAAACTTTTAAATAGTTTTTAACTTCTAATTATGTGAAGTAATTTCCTCGATAACATTAAACATTGTAAATAAAACTTTAAATTTTAAAGCATTTTTTTTATTTAAAGAAAAAATGAATGAAAATGTAAAAAGAAAAGTAAACTAACAAAGGTATATCTTTGGATTAAAAAGATACGATAAATGTAATTAGTAAGTTCATTTTTTATTCTTTATTTTTTTTCATAAAGGATAGAGAAATTCATTAAAAAAAAAAAGAAAAGCAGAAAAGGAATAAATTATATAGAAAATAATCATTAATTGTTCCAAAACAGTGATTAAAAAAATTAAGGAAATAAATTAGCATTAAACAAGTAATATCTACCATTCGATGGTGTAAACTTCTGTTTTTTCTTTTTTTTTTAGTGAAATAGTTTGAAAGAGAGAAAAAACCATCCATGAACTTACTTAAAAGGAAATATAAACTTTTTAAAAGTAAAAGATGAATTATAAAGTTGAAAATT